AGCTACTGATGAGGATCATCGGAGTCATGAGGCTCTTGGCTATCCCAGGCTGATACACCTTGAAGAGCACTATCAGAAAACTATCCAAAGCTGAAATCCCATCTTTTGGCTAAGCTAGGAGTCCCATTCTGCAGCACTGGGTAATGTAACACCTGACACTAGTAACAATTTTGTGTACATACTGTCTCCTAGATATTTCAGTATCACTGGTAAGGTTTAAAAAGCAACAAGGAAAAGCATGCACTGGAGCATGAGAAGGAGCTAAAATTTGGATTACACACACACAGTTTATATGACAAAACCTACGAAAACAACCATATATTGCTATTGCAAGCTCAGAATGAGAAAGTAAGCGAGACCATCAAGAGAAGAGACCATCAGCAACTGAACTCATGTTAGTTAATGTAACAGCCCAATGACTCTGGATAATTTCTTTCCAGTCTTCAGTTTTGATTACAACTCAGTAAAGAAACCCTAAAACTCTGACAGACATTGAGAGAAACAAAGCAATAGACATAACCTATCTTCCTATGGCAAGGCCATAGGAAGATGGCAAGGCCAGGAGTTTTTCCTCAAGTACTTGGCAATTTCACTATCAGACAAGGTCAAAAGAAATTGTTTCCTCCCATACATTTTGTCCCACAAGAAGGTCATTTTAGCCATGCTCCCAGGGAGCCCTTCAAAACATTTGCCAACGCAAATGTTTGTAGGTTTCCAGTGAAAGCAGATCACTAAAATGACACAGTAAAAAAATGTATATAAACAGTGAAATAAAAAGGCAACAGGAATTTCTGAAGAGACTGTGTGCTGAGGAAGACACAGTGGTGAACAACTGCCCAATAACTTTTAAAACTACAAACAAATATTTTTTCTCATGCCTTTGTCTGTAGAGTTCACCACTAACAGAAATGACTGATTCAGCAATAAGATTACTGTGGGTCAGAAGAACAGGGCCCCAAATTATTAAAATATTCTCTCCCTAGCTACAGAGGCCTTATAGTTAACTTTGTTTTAAACATTCCTGATTCCCAGTTGAACCTAAGTCTAACAAGAAAGCACATTTAAACAGCATTCTGGGTTTCCAGCTAGACTAGCAATTCAGAGAAGGACAACAGCACAAAAGACAGCAGCTCAGTTTTGAAATTTGGAGAGAGGTGGGAAAATCAACACAATTCACAGTACAGCTCATTTTTTCAGCCCACCCAATTCACATTATAAGCCAATCCTGCAGCCATCACATGTGCTCTAATTTGTTCGTCACATATATTTAGTAATGCCTAAGAACATATCCCAGTATTACAGAGAGGGAGGAAAGTAAAAGGTTACATTTCAGTATTTCCAAAGTTATAATTTCCCTGAGCTTCTCCTAAACTAAAAAAATACTGCAAAATGGATGCATGTTGCTATTCATCTAGCAAGGGATTAAAAAATCAGAATATTATATGCCAAAGACTCAGAGCTGCTCAATCAACACCCCCAATGAAAGTAATCTCCACTACTGAGGTTGGTAACAATGAAAAGATCAACAAGTTCTGCCAGAAATTAAGATCCAACAATTCTAAGGTATACTGGAGCTCAAGGCCAGATCCTGATTTTAAAAAGAAAAATGTAAAAGGATTGAAAAGCTGTATTATATGGCTATCATGCAAGAAATTTCATAACAGATAAGCTAATTGAAGATAAGTCTGGAAATGGTAGCACAGCTAACATGCTACACAGCATTTAAACTTTCTGAACAAGTCATTCAAACTCTTGGCAAAGAAAGGATAATATTTGAAAAGATAAGTTTCCACAGTTGAGTTAAACTCAAGAGTTTCATTGAAAAGGCCTCAGTGCAGACTAAGTATCAACCCCAGTCTCCTGCTACTATCATTGACAAACATCAGCTTTTCTGTGAGTTGCCTGATTTTCTAATATACACTGGGACACCAGGAAATTTCTTCCAAAATCAATCTCCCCAAACAGAGATTAATTTTATTAATATATTTATTATGTAGAGCTGATACTAGACAGCAGACAACTGGATTGCATCAAAGTCTCTGTGGAAAAACACAAATTTGAGAATAGATGCATGAACAAATCCACTAAAAGACAAAAGATTTGAGTGCTTCATACTTTGGAATATAGATTCCAGCAAAAAATCAAGAGGACATTAATTAGACTGCAGTTTGGGGATCATTAACTTGGTTTACATTTGCTACCTTCCTGACAAATGTTAAGCAAATGTGCTATAGTTAGATGCAAACTGGCAAATTTCCTAAATAAATCATAGGACATATTTATAGAGAAAACTAAAATAAAAGACTCATAAAAAAAAAAAACTTTTTTTTTTTTTTTTTTTGAAAACAATTTGCCGTTTTAGCATCAACAGATTTAGCAGCAAGCCGTACCTGAAGTGCACAGCTCGGGCCGTGGCATTCCCCAGGTGTCTGTGAGAACTGCAGATAGCAGAGTGCCACCTGCCTTTCACGGGTCACAGCTGCAATGCTGCAGCCTGGAAATTAAACCCAGCCTACCGCCAACAGTTGGCAAACACACCTCAAAAGGGTCAGTTTGAAAAATGTTTATAGTGTTTGACAAATCAGAACGAAATTTAAAAAAAAAAAAAAAAAAAAAAAAAGGAGACGTTCTTTGGAAGCAGCTACAGCTTTCCAAAACACGTTAGGACAGAACCAACACAGAGGCTGTAACTTAACACTGTTTCCCAATCGGAATGCATGCACATGCCAGAGAGGATAAAAGGATGATAATAAAGAGAAACAGACTGATTAACAATAATTTGGAGAACTCTGCATTGACAAGAATACCCATTAAACATTTCCATAAAATGATTTTATAGAAAAGGAGAAGCTCCTCATGCTGCTTCCTATAATTATGGCCATAGCAATAGCAATCCATCTCAGGAGCCATAGTAACTTCAGAACACACATTACCAAACATCAAGAGCATATCTAAATTTTAAAAACCAGATGTTAAATCTAAAGCTAAATCGTATTTCACTGCTATTCAAAAGTCCATCACCACAACATACTAACCAATTACTAGATTCTGCTTTACATGAAGTAGCAGAGTATCAGATTTCACACATCCTCCTCCCCACTATCAACAGATAGTACTGGTAGTACACACCTACTATTAACTGATAGCAGTATCAGCAATCCACTTACGTGTCCCACAGCACAGAAATCAGACCCAGCCAGCACTGCTGATAAAGCTGCTGCAGACCAGAGGGCAGAAACGGGTCTCTCTGCTCCTGCTCACCCCAGGAGCTCAGCTGCTCCCTTGGCTGAATTCCTGCATGCAACCTCTAACACGAGAGCCAAAAATTGCAGGAGAATTATGTTGTATTTCTGCAGTTCACAGACTGTAGTGTACAGCTACTCCCTGAAAAGTAATGAACTTCATTCATTGAAAATCCTGTATTTGTACAAGACTGTATCAACAGAAGTCAGAATCCATGTGGTTTCACTAAGTAGCTGGGGGAAAAGAAAGTGAAAAACAAATGACCACACAACTCTTTCTTCCGAAAACAGCAGCAATAGAGTTACCATCCTCTGCATCTCTGCCCAGCAGGAAATGAGTACAACAAACCTACTACAACCATATTTATGGATCATTACAAAGTGCACAGGCACTCCTACTACCTGTAAGTATTTTATGAAAACAGCACTAGTTAAAGATTAAAAGAAATGAGACACTTCAGATATTAATGCCTTCAGCTTTGTCAACCAAAACAAATGTGTAACAATATCCCAAGGAATAAGCAGTACAACTCAGAAGCCAGTGTTTACACTACTTAGTTCAAAAGAACCTCTCAAACAGAGAAGTAAACTCCCACACGCCAGAGCAAAACCTTAGCTCTCAGCAGGAGTCCTCACAGCTGTTCAGCATTAAAATGAGAAAATGAGGTGAATTCATTAGTAAATGTAATAAAGTTATATTATTGGTACCTGCTGGAGAGGAAGGTGGGAACACAGCACAAAATCCAGAAATTTACCAACATCATTCATTCTACTAAGCAAAGTAGCCAAGGCCATACCTCAGCCTTTCAAGGCAGCAATACACTTTTGATTGACTATGTGTTACATATTTGACATCAGCAAGCTCAACAATTCTAAGTCAAACTTTACTGAACTCAGTCAGCCTTATATAACAACCAGGAGATGTTCAAACTTCTAGAAATAAGATTTGAGTGCAATTTCCACTATGAAAAAAAATCTACTCTACATCACTCCAGCTGGGCTAGCACCACATCAGGCTGTTACACCAAAATTCAAACCAAGAGTGGTTAGTCAGCTTTCAGAGAGTAAGACCTTCAGATGCACTACCTTAGGGCTCCCAGAACACGCTACCACTATAACTTTAACACCACGTTTTAGTTTTAGGATGTTTGTCACAGCTATAATCTTGCATATTCTAACCATCTTCACAATGCTGCGTGTTCCTGCATGCACAGACCTCTCCTGCCAACAGTCCGGTTTGCTGGAGAGGCAGATGCACTGACAGCTCCCCCCACTCCAGCTGCCCCCCAGGAGTAATCCCGGGCAGATTATCGCTGTGTCAATCTACAATGCAGACTCAGCATCTGGACTGATACAAAAAACCCTAATAGCTGTCATTAATCTGGTAAGCAATCCTCACAGAACAATATACGTATACAATTGGCTGAGGTGTTTCCATCTGCATCGTCGCGGAACGGTAAACTCTAACACCCCAATTCAGAAAGTGCCAAAATACAGTCACGCCACAGACCGAAGACAGTGCAGTTAAATAAAACAGTGAGAATAAAAGCACATCGGGGTTTCAAATCGCACTACACGAACATCCCACTGAAGACCCACGTTACTCAGACAACTGACGGTGCCTTTCACGCCACTTCTTCTCTCACCAGAAGATGAGCCTGAGCAAACTTCACTTGCTGAAGTGTGACAAAACCCTCCGAAACGTTCCCGAGACAGCGGCTGCCTCTCCGCAGCCGGGGCTCAGCGACAGCCACGCACCTCACTCTCCGGGGCGAGACCGCGCTCCCGAGGGCAGGAGCGGCGCGGGGGTCCCGCAGCGCGGAGCGCCCGCGGTCCGGGCTCCGGCCCCTCTGGAGATACGGCTCCCTGTCCGTCTGTTTTGTCTGGTCTCGAGCGAACAGCTCCGTCTACGGGGAGAACGCCCGCCCGTTCTGAAAGGCTCAGTGGACTTTCGGGGGTGGGGCCGGGCAATGCCCGAGACGGGCTCCGAGCGCCGGCAGCGCTCCCGGCTCCGGAGCCCAGCGGCAGCGGCGCTCCGCCTCGCTGCCGGCTCCCCCTGCCGGCGCCCTGCGCCGCTCCGCCCGGACCCCAGCCCGCCCGGCCTCCGAGCCCCCCGTGGCCCGGCGGACACCGGGGCGCAGCCGGTGGAGGAGCGGGGAGGCGGCCCCGCTCATGGACAGGGCGGCCGGGAACGCGCAATGCCCGCGGCGCTCCCCAAGCGCCGCTGCGGCGGGGAGGGGAGAGGGGCCGGCAGGGTTACCTGGAGGCGCCGAGGGCTGCTCGCCGCGGGCAGGGCGGGCGGGCGGGCAGGGGCTCCGCCGCCGCCTCACCGATGCCCGCTCCCGCCTCACGCCGCCATGGCCGCAGCCCCGCCGAGCCGCCCGCGCTCCGCTCGCTCGCACCAAGTTTGCGGCGCGGCAGCTGCGCGCCTCGCCCGGCGGCCGGACCCAGCGCCCCGCCGCGGGGGCGGAGCAGCCACGGCCGCCCGGCCCCGGCGATGCGGTGCGGTGCGCGGCTCGGCTCGGCTCGTCCCGCAGCCGGCGCTGCCCCGGGCTGGGGCGATCTCGCATTACTCCCTGTCCTCCCCCGCGCTCCCCCCTCCGGGCCAGCCGAGAAGTTGCAACTGGTTGAGATATTTGTCCTTGGGGTTTGGGTTTTTTTTATTTTTATTTCCTTTTATTCCTTAATACCGCAGCTCACAAAAACATGACCTGAGGCTGCTGCTTTTCCGTGCGATCTGAGCAGAGGTGCCTCAGCGCCAGTACAACTAAGCACAACAAATCCCGGCGAGTGACAGCAAGAGGGAGGGGAGGCGGTGGCACACGGGCAGCGCTGCCGGTGCCGGGTCCGCAGGGGGCTCCCGGCCGCTGCCCGGGGCTCCGGTGTCGGGGCAATGTACCAAAACCGGGGAGCAGCAGATAGAGGAGGAGAAGGAGGGCTGGGCGCCAGCGGCTGCCCCGGGACGGCAGGGACACCGGGAGTTCCAAGCGGCGCCCCCCGGCTCTCCGCACCCCCCTCACCCATGCCACAGCCGGCCGGCCAGCCCCCCTGTCCCGGTCCCAGCCCTCCGGGCTCCGGCGAGCAACCGCGTAGGCAACAGGAGCCCCGCAGCAGCGGCCCCGGCCCCGCTGCCAGGGGAAGTGGGGTACTGACATTTCTGCCGCCACGTCAGAGCCTGCGGCCAGTCCCTCTCCGCCCCCTCCAGTCCCCTCCCTCCCCCCCCCCATGGCACGATCGACGTGTCAGCCCCAAAAGTTCATTTCCCGGCCCTGGGAGAGTCCCCTATAAAGGTCCCGGGGCGTGCGTGGCACGGTGAGACGTGGCAGTGCGGGGCTGCAGCCGGGGCGCGCAGGCATCTCCCCAGGTACGTGCGTTCGCATTGTCGCGCTGCCCGGGTCTTCGGCGCATGCCTTTGTGTTTTGTCAGCTCACCTGTGTTAAACTAGGAGGTTATTTCTGTTCACGTGTGCATTGTAATTAATTCCATCAGAGTTGGAGTTTTTTTCTTTTGTGACAGCATTTGCGCATTTCTACTTCAAACTGCAGTAGAAACTGACTTTTGTTGTTCACAGCAAGACCAAGCAATTTAGAAGACTAAAAGCAGTAAGAGTTTATTAAAACAAACAAAACCATGGAATTCATCCATGCTAGAGTAATCTTATAAAAGTTAGCTAATTAAAACAACTAGCATCAAAACTTATCAGCAAGCCAAATGTTCCAAATCCAAATTGCCTTAAACTTCTAGCTCAATTTTACTTTGGCTAGGGTATAAAAGAAACTTGTTCAAGTAGAAACATTAACAGAAGTTTGAAATTATCAGTAAAATGAAGTCCTGGAATTTGGAACATTCTTTCTGATTATTTTTTGATATTAAAAAAACCCAACCCAAATACTAAAGGCCAAACTATTTTTTTTTCATAAAGTCATGTAACCCTGATACTCAAGGATGTTTGCTTATAAATAACAATAGTGTTTAAGAAGCCATTACTGTGATTACTGTAATTCCTGGGGTCACTTTCTCATGTGATTTCCTTCTGATCCAGAAAATACTTGTACAGAAAATATAAGAATTCGTTTTACACCTAAAAATTGCCATCAAAGTAAGTGCAGATATGAGATGATTCACATACCTATACTATTAACTTCTTTGGAGTGTTATTAAGACATCTTCAGATCAACAAGTCCTACACTTCTTATGTACCTCCACCTATTACAATACATTTAGACTTTCTTTTTAAAGAGGAGATATATTTGTTTTCCAACTGCTGTGTAAAAAAAAATAAAACATCCCCTACTTTATCTGTGAAAAGAAAGCACCATGTAACCAAAACCAACTGCCAAAAAAACCTATCAAAATTCTGGCCCCCTGACTGATGTACATTTTAGCCTCTAAAAATTCCTCTGCAGTTTGGCTATGAAATAATAGGCATATAAGTAAAAAAAAAAAAAAAAAAAAAAAATCCCAAAACTCACTACATTTATATCTTTATATCATACTGTGTTAATGGCATACAGCACATTCTAAGAAAAATTCCACTGGAATCATATTGACTCTATATCACCCACAGAGCATTTAGTCATGCACTTTATAGTTCTGTACCAGTTTCATGGAAGAACAGTCATGATGTCAATGCTTAATTTTATTTAATTTTATTTTAAAAGCTCAAGGGCAAAGATGTCTGAAACTGCCTGTGAGATTAATCATGTTTGAAATTAAGGCTAAAAACTGTAACAGTTTTAATATTACATGTTACTCTGTGCTATGTCTAAGTTCCAGAGTTAAACCAGATGAGTTGAGTGAATGAGCCCAGCAATTTTAGGTGATGCAATCCCCAGATGTACCCTTGCAAGTAGGCGCTGACGGTTTTTGTTTCTTCATAAATTGCACAGTGGTGTCTCAATCCTAGGCTAAGCCTCATTGTGTTACTATATCCAAAATAAATAAGGATAATCTAATATAATCTAGGAATATTATGCTAAAGGCAAGGGAGAAAGCAGCAGTAGAAGCTCTGCTATCTGATTTAAGGAAGGGAAAAAAAGAAGACCAAGTCCATCGCATCCAGCTTTTTTTCCAGTGTGGAGCTCATCTTTCTCTTCTGCCTCATATTTTCCTGACATTACATTTCTCACTGTTAGTAATTTTTAATCTCTCCTTCCAACAAAACAGACCGAGCATATTAAGGATGGCAGCGTGTGGAAGCAGTCATGGTACTGCAGTTGGAAGAGGAAAAGCTGCACAGCACCTTCAGGCTTTTGGCCAGTTTGGTGGGAAGCCAGATTTCAGCTCATTCCTGTGGTGGCAGGATATAAAGAGTGTTAGAAAGCAGGGAAGGGGGTGGATTTCCATCTGTTTAGGTGGGAAAGTCACAGTGTAAGGGAAGGCCTGTCTTCACATTACCCATCAAAAGCACCTTGGATAGTAAGCATCTCTTTCACCATTTAGAAAAACAGTCAGATACAGTAAATTGAAACTTTAAGTCAGATTAAAAAGGAAAAAACAATAGAAAAAGAAGAAGGTGTGAGCTTCAGTAAAACTGAACCTTGAGTTATACTTCCATCATAGGAAAAGGTCTTTGCTTGCTTCATGATCACAAAGTCTTTATTACCACTGCATATTACTTTTTCCAGACCACTGAAAACATTAGTCATTTTTGTTTAATTCATGAAAAACAGGCAGAGGAAAACTTTGAAGTCTCACAGTTGATTGCCTACTTTTGTGTTTTCTAACCACATCATTTATTACTGAGGAGAAACCCTACTGGTGACCAGAGCCTTTCCAGAGCAGACCAGGCAGAAGAGTGGTGCATACAAACAAGCACCCTTTCCTGAATCAATGCTTAAGAGCAGAGAGTTTGTGCAGTCTGGTGTCTTGAATTTACCTGACTTACACAACATTGTTGAAATACCCAATCATCAGCTCTACATTTCTGTTTCTTTCTCTTTTCCCACTGAGATTCAGGAAAGTATTTGCCCTGCTGCATTTGAGTTGACGAGCCCTTAGCATTCCCACCTGCATTGAGCAACATCATCTTGCACGGCTGGATCATCACAAGTCTGCCATATTTAAATACCAGGGACTTGTGCTGTTGTTACGTGTAAAAACAGGAATGACACCATCCCAGGAAAGCAGATGACCCAGAGGATTTAGGTTTGCCATCCTCATTCTCACATGGGTCTGGTAGGGAAGTACACTGTTAAAAAGCATGCCAGGAAAGGCTGTAGCTGTGTATGCCCAGTAGGAGACACAGGGTGAGGTCAGACTGAGCATCATTTTAATTGCCTTAGCAAAAGACACCATTGCAATTCTTCATGAAAATAATAGGGAAGTAAATGTCAATAATTACAAACTTTGTTGTTTTCCATTAAGTTACTGTCTCACATTAAGTTCTGTATTTAAAGGTTCAGCTGACTGGTCTCCATAATATCTATAAATTAGGAAAAGCTAGGTGAGAGCCTAAAACTTGGCTCCTGAGAACTGATGAGTTCATGTTTACCATTTGTGATCAAAAGACAAAGTAATATTTCTCACAGCATTTCTATTATTAGGGCTATTTATAAACAAAATGGTTTGCTTTTATGAATGCATAAGATATTTTCAACACAGCTATATAAATATATGTGCACTTACATTTATAAATCTGTGATACGATTTTTAGTAATTGCTCGTTTCTTTCCATTAAAGTCTCTGACAGATAAGGCAGTTAAAGAAGTTATTATATGAATTCTTAAAAAGGACCATCTAACTTCAAGTCCCTAAAAGTAGTTAAATATTTGGTGAAAATGATGAATTCTTGGGTACTGATTCATGTGATCTGAAAATGCCATCCATTTCCTGATTCACCTTCATATCTCCTCCAGGAAAAAAATATTTACAATGAATACCATCAGTCAAACAATTTTT